CAAAATCCCAAAAGAGTTGTTAGGTCGTACACAAAACCTGTTTTCTGCGAAAATGGGGCGCGACAGATTCTAATCGGGTATAGTCAAAATAATTAACAACAATTATTGTTCACTAACTAATTAAGAGTCCGGAGCCTAAATGGTACAAAATATTAATAAAAGTTTCAAAACGATATATAAAATTTTATATTAACCAAAACGGTAAAATCGCTGCATCAACAACGACTTACCCCACCGGAAAAAGAAAAATCGCTGCCTCTGCGGTGATTTTGTAAAATATGATTTTTATTTAAAAAAAAAATGAAATTGCTGCCTAGGCAGCGATTTTAATTTATTTTTTTTAAATAAGGTAAATCGCTGCCTATTTTTTAAAAAAAATATGGATTTTTTTTAATTTTTTTAAATGTTAAATCGCTGCAGCGATTTTCATATATATTTTTTTTAAAATCGCTGCCCCCAACAACGATTTCCATACTTTTTTTTAAAAAAAATTTAAAAAAAATCGCTGCCTAGGCAGCGATTTTGTAAATTTTTTTTTTATAAATCGGTGCCTCGACCAGTTTTTTTTTAAAAAAATAATTTAAAATCGCAGCCTTGGCAGCAATTTTTTTTAAAAAATAATTTAAAATCGCTGCCTAGACAAAGATTTCATTTTTTTAAAAAAAAAAATCATATTATGGATAAGTCGTTGATGCAGCGATTTTACCATTTTGGTTAATATAAAATTTTAAATACAATTTTAAAATTTTTGTTAATATTTTGAACCGTTTTAATTTCGAACTCAACTAATTAATGCCCAATCAATCTACTATTTCCAATGTTTTCATGTTAGTTTGTTTGCATGAACAAGAAAAGAAAGAAGATGCAAGTTGCTTTTTTTCCTTTTCTAGGTGGGGCTAGCTAGGGATCAAGGGGGACAGAGAAGGGCGAGTTGGAGTTTGGTTTAAATGTTTAAAAAATAATATTTTCTAAATAAAGTTGAATTTTAATAATTTTAAGTCAAAAAATAGAAAGAATGAAAAGATATTTTTAATTTTTTCAAGTCATCTAAAATTTATTTTTAAGTTATTTTAATCTTGTCAAAAAAATTTTAAAAATGAATTAAAAAGTAATTTCAATTTTTAAATCAATATAAACATTGTTAATTAGTCCATTCTTAACAATTAGATCTTAGGCGTAACTCACATTTTAAAGTTAGCTCAAAGGGTGAAGAATTGCTCAAACCTTATAAGGAGTTCACCCATCTTATTAACCACCGATGTGAGACTTTAATCATTTTTTAACATCCCACCTCGCGCCCGGTGCTTAGCATTTGGTCCGTGGGTAATTTTGATTTTGAGGGCCCAACATCAGGTGAGACAGACCCTTCTCTGATACCATGTAAAATTAGATTTTAGGACTAACTCAGACCTCTACAAACTAGCTCAAAGGGAAAAGTATTACCGAACCCATCTCATTAACCACCGATGTGAACTTTTGTTATTCTTTAATAATTCAGCTTCTAACTAGTGATATATGCATGTTGTTTGTTGAGTTTAGACTCAAACTACTGTCGCTAAAATTTAAGACTTGTTTTTTTTTATATTATACATAAAGTAGTGCTCTCGGTCGATATGAAATTTGCTAAATCGGCCAGTTAAATGCTGGAACTCATCATCGACCAAGATTGCATACAAAGTGACTTGAATATCAGCCTAACCTATTAATGGTATTATCTGTTTTGAGTAAGATTTGTTAATAAAGTGAAGTTGGAAGAGTAGTATATTCGAGAATCAACAAGAGAGAACTCTCGTGGAATAACTGCCTCTTCATTTTGTCTATCACCAGTACGAATAGAGTTATTCCATCCAAAATAGGTCTATAAAAATTTGCTAACTCATGTCATTCTTATTTTTGTTCCCGTTATATGTTTGATTTGTCAAAATATTTTTTCAATTTTATTAAAAATGAACAGACCCAAGTTTATTCATTAACCCGGTTTAATTTGTTGTGATGCGCTCAGGTTTGTTCCTAAAAGAGGGCATTGACATGTGTTGTTGCTTAATCTCTTAACGAATATATAACAATATGTATATAATATATTAGAGATGTCACGTCTAAGGATTATAAATTTAGGATAAAATTAATAACCTTCAAGATCCCTTGGACTCGTTCATTGACTTTCATAAAACTTCAATCTTTCAGTATATATGAGAGTGTTCCCTTGATTCGTAGTCATTAACAAAAATTGAATTATACTTTTCTGATCATTCTAGAAAATGAGATGAAAATTATGGATGTCTGGAGAAAAGAAAAAAAAAATGGTAATGAGTGGAAGGGATGTTCAAAGTTGAAACACTAATTCTTTTACTCCAATATTAAACATTAGCCTATCTTTGACTACTAGCAAACAAAGAAAGAAATAATTAATTAAGAAAACAAATGGTTAATGAATTGCGACGGCGCTAATTGTTATTTGAGATTTGAATATTTGAGGCACTTTAAATCACAAAAAATATAGAAATTATATACTCTAAAATTCTGTACTATTATCAATATATGAATAGTATTACACTTTATTCTGCAGTCTGCACTGTACCTCTTCTCCCAATTACCTACTATATATATATATATATATATATTGCTCTCAACATTATTTTTTTCTAAAAAAATTCCATCATTTTAATTAAAAATTAAAATGACATATTTTATTAAAATTTGAAATTAAAATATCTTTTCATCTTATTATATTATACTCCTATATTGTTGTTGTTGTAAAAAAATAACAAAAAAAAAGTAGTCGAAAATATTCTGGTGTCACGCATGACTGCATTGGTCAAAGGACAAACAGGAATTAATGCCGTCATATAAGTTAAAATCGGAATAGTTATTCAAACAAATTGTACGTATACTCCATACAGTGTTCTCTTAGGTGGTTAAGTTATATGTTAAATTTATTATTAAATTTTTTTGAATATATAATATACATAGGTTAAAATTCAAACAAAAGATTTAACGTACTTGAAATTAAATCAAGTAATTTGTAGGCTTTCTCTATCAAATATATATTGACTCATGGTTGCTTCGAGAAGGACATTATATAGTGTGCAGACACAAGATTGGACTAGTCGTATTTGTTATCCTATCTATTTTCAAATAGACATGATATATCTAAAATCATAGTATTCAAACTTGTTGCGTAATTCATGACGCATATACATCTTGATTTATGTACACCATCACAAAGTTTTATATGCATACAGCAAGTAACAAATTGAATTAAGGGTCCGAATTGATTGAACATGAGCAGATATATTGAAAATGAGTTGAGTAAAATATATCAATTATACATTTTTTATATACAAGTTAATTGACAGATAATATGAATATGGTAAAACACAAATTGAAAGAACTCATGAAAGTTAACAAGATAACATATGAAAATCTAGCTTTTCTTTACGCAGAATATATGAATAAATTATAAGTACTCCCAATATGACATTTTTCATTTTTAAGAGTCAAATAATATGAATTTGATAAAAAATTTACACATAAAATCTTTAATTATTAAAAAAATAATATTTATATATTTATAAATTAATAATTAATAAATTAAAATATAAAAAAACTTTATAGGCCATTTGAAATATCGAAATGCGAAAAGCACGTGGAGTAATATTTTTTATGTGACCAATTATTTTTACCCTTGTATAGCAGTACTATTACGAATATGAATAGTCGACCTTATTCTGAGGTTTTAACCAAAATAAGCTATTATATAAAGTCATTCACCAAAATAATATGTTTTTTTAAAATTTTACAAAACTAGTATAAACGTATTCCACAGTAACGTTTTAGGATATATTTTATTTTTTAAAAGTTGATGGCGTCAGATTGATACTCACAGTAACGTTTTAGGAGTAAAACGTTATTGAAAATAACGTTTTAAAAGTAAAACGTTACTTACATCAACGTATATCAACCTAATGCTGTTAGTTTTTTAAAAATAAAATATACCCTAAAACGTTACCATGAAATACGTTTATACTAGTTTTGTAAAATTTTAAAAAAATATATTACTTTGATAAATTATTTTATATAATGAATTAATTTGATTAAAAATTCACTTATTCCAAAGCACGTGCTCCGTAGTACAAGTATTGTCTTTGTCCATTAATAACTCTTAATTTTAATGTTGTCATATATTTTTGTCCTAACTATTAACTTTTGGGGGCTCTAATAAATTATATATCAATAAACGCACCTAATAAAAAATTGGTGGTGTTTCTCTCGTCAAGAATAAAGATAAATTGGAACTCTGGGCAAGGAATTTAAGGAAAATAACACACATCAAATTATAAAGAGAATTCTTATTAGTGTTGGGAGGAAACGATATAATGTGATGTTTTTTAAAGTACAACTTGAAAACAGTTACTTAATAAAGTTGAAGTTGCACATGTATTTTTTTAGCTTGAGAAAAGTAAAAGGTTCTTTAAGTTCATTTGGAAATACTAAAATTACTAGCTAATTTTTATTTTTTGCCATATGAAACTTGGATAAGAATTATGTTATTAATTTCTACAACTCATGATGTGTTGTAGAAATATAATACTATTGTTTATTTTGTTGAAATATAATAATATAAACTGGCAATGAATCAAATATATTTATGGTACATTTGCTAATGGAATTAAACGTGTCCACCTTCTTAGAGTGTCTTCTTGACCTACCATTAATGGTTTACTAATCCTTTTAATTAGTAATTTTGACAATTATTTGAGATAAATATTACTTATTATATTTCTTAAATACGATCTAATCATATATTTTTTAAAATACTATTTATGCATTAAAAAAGTTAAATTCTGGCCAATAAGATTGTGAATCGTCAAAGTTAATGATGACTAGAGCGATGGAGCCGCCGGGTAACTTTTCTAGTAGACACGAGAAATACATTAGTACTACTCCCCTCTTTATTTTACTAATAATAATTGATGAAACTACGTTTGTCTTTCCTCGATCTGCTATTATATATAGATATAGGCATATGAGTGGTGTGTGCATGTGTATATATCTAATTTAATTATCAATTAGAAAAGCGATAACGCCTTAGCTTGGATCATCTATCCTACTACTAAATGGATATTAATGATGTGGTTGTTGGTTCTGTATCCGAGAGGATGCAAAATGATCATCGTAATTTGTTATCGGTTAAGAATAAGAAAATTAAGAAGCCCAGATTTGCTTTTCAAACTAAAAGTCAGGTTGATATACTTGATGATGGCTATCGATGGAGAAAATATGGACAAAAGGCTGTCAAGAACAACAATTACCCAAGGTACGTTATTTCATCATTTCTTCTAATTAGATTGTTATCACTACGTACCCAAAAATATTTTTCTATGTTATATATATATATAACCCCGTACGTACGTGCATATCATGAATTTTTGCTTGCATGACTGCAAACCACGTTAGAGTTGAAGAATATATATGGTGTGTGATGTCTTCCTGTCCGAGCAACCCACCCCTCTCTCAGCCTTTGTTATACTCATATGATTACTTACTTCAACTCATGTCAAAGATTTTCTTTAATAATCTAGGTGTATGTTCATTGATCTATGATAATTAAAATGTGAACCCTAGCTAGCTACTACTTTCCTCTTATTCACTGATTTCATATTAACTTATGACCTTATTTACTCACTCGAAATTAATTAAATCCAATTAATGATATGCAAAGGGTGGTTTTGGTATATATATATATATATATATATATATATATATATATATATATTATACTAGATATCAGGAATCCGCGCCAGCGCAGACCCAACGTATGTTAATTTTTTTTCTTTTTATTATGTGACACAAATGAAATTTGAAAATGTGAACTAAATTTTCTCTATGTGTTTTTTTAATTTTTTTTTATTGTTAATTTATATAACTCTTTTGTCATTTTTGAATAATACATGTTACTCTATTTGTTTCATTTTATGTGATATAAGTGATTTTTTAGGAAAATCAATGAAATTTCTTATGTGGCTCTCACATATTTTTAATTGTTATTTTACTGTGATTATAAAAACTTTTTAGTTCTTACGTTATTTTCAAATAATATATGCAACTTTTTTGCTTCGATAAAAATAAGGAGTCAATCAAATTTCATTATGTTTTTTTAACTATGTTTTTCTAAAAATATCTTAAATTGTTACATTGCGTTTTTAAGCTTCTTTTTTTTATGTAATTTTGAAATATGTAACAAACTAGAAATTAAAATGAAGAATTAAAGTTTTCAAATCATTATATTTCATTTTTAATATATGACTCCATCATTTTCAATTTATATGAACTTATTTTTTAATTTCATTTCAAAAAGAAAATAACTTCTGAATTTTAATTTTTTTATATAGTATATTTAAGATCACAAAATTAAAAAATATATCAATACAAAAATTTAAATATACATATAACTTTTAGTTTTAATTTTGATTGATTCTACCTAATATTATACTTGATATATAATTATTAAGAGCTAAGCGTAATAATAATTTATTTACTTTTATATGAAAAAATAGATATCACAATAACTCATAAAATGTGAAGACATAACAAAAATGAGGTAATACTAATATGAATAATTAAAGATGTTTCTAGAACTATTTAATTTTCTTGTTATATTGGTAGATTTTTGTTTGCATGAAGTTACATTTTTACCTTTCATCATCATTCACTTCACATATAAAATGATGTTTCTAAAACTATTTATTTTTGATAGATTTTTATTAATATGTAATTATATTTTATTCTTGGTCGTCTTTATACAAATATATCATCCTATTCATTTTTATTCATAAAGTTACTTTGTAGCATTTTCTTTAATTTCAATCTAATATATATTATTAATTTTTTCAAATTTATTTATTTTCAAGTATATTAATTAGAACCAAAATAAAGATGAAAATAATTAATTCATCATAAATTTTTATATAAAAAGTAAACAATGAATTGAAAAAATATTAAGAATTAAATTAAAGTATAGTAAAATAGAGTAATAATAAATTAGATATCACAATAACTCACAAAAGAAAAGAAAGTGAAGTAATAATAAAATAAGTTAATGATAATAACAATAACCTAAGATGTTTCTAGAACTATTTAATTTTCTTATTCATTCTTGATAGATTTTTGTTAATGTAAAATTACACTTATTCCCTTGATCATCATTCACTTCATGTACAAAACGATGTTTTTATAATTATTTATCATTTTTCTAAATAGATATTTGTTAGCGTGAAATTACATTTTTATACGTGATCATCCTTCCACTTCACTCTTCTATTATTATATATATAGAAAATAGAAATATGAGTGGTCTGCTGAACTAAATATTGAAACATGCATGTACTGCACGCAGAAGCTACTACAGATGTACTCATGAAGGATGCAATGTGAAGAAGCAAGTACAGCGCCTTTCCAAAGATGAAACAGTTGTAGTGACTACTTATGAAGGAATGCACACTCATCCTATTCAAAAGCCCAATGATAATTTTGAACAAATCCTCCATCAGATGCATATTTTTCCTAATCCTCCATGCCATTTAATTAATTAATGCTCTCTTATTACACTTTCAAAACAGATATTTACTACAGCTACTACCAAAGATAAATGCTTCATTTGGACTATTACTACATATATTTGTTTCTTTATTAGTATTAGTAAACTACTGTTTCACAGCTAATCAAATTCAACCTCTCTTCTACTTTCACCCTCAATTTTAAATTTTTAACACCTTCTCTTTCAAAATTTTGGTGTTTCACAAATTTAGTAAAGGTACTTTTAGATTCAAGCAAAAGAAATTTTTGTGTTATTGGAAATAAGCTAAAAGTTTCTGCTATTTAAAAAAAAAGCAAAAATAAATCCACAGACAAAACATTATTTTTCTCAATAATATCTTATTAATTAATTAACATATTTCATAAGTTTGTAAATTTAATTTAATTTTTATATATAATAAATTTTGTAATTTATTTTACTAATTATTTTATAAAATTATAAAAGAAGTTACAATAATATTTTACAAGATTAAAATAATAACAATTAAAGATTTCAACCTCCCAAAAAAGTTATAATATTGATTAAAAATTTCAACATTTACATTTTTTATCTAATAAAAATAAAATTTTAATTTTTTTAATAATAGATATTTAAATTAATTTTTCTCTGTAAAATAAATTTAACATTATAAGTACATTAACAATTGTCTTCTTTAAAAAAAAAACAACTTTCAAAAACATTTTAAAAACAAAATTAGACAAACACAATTTGTTTGTGATAAACACTTTTCAAATGAATTAGCCAATTATTTCAAATGCATATTTTTTGAAAAGCCATTTTTAAAATAATGTATCTCAAAATAAGTTGTTTCTAGCAGTAATGTCAAACAAGCTCTAAATATTATGATTTATATGCATCGGTTATAACTGCATTTTTCTATTTTTAAAAATACTTTGGAGTAATTAAGTAAAGATGAACTAACAAAATTAGATTTTACTTTTGTAAGTAAAGATGAAATTGAAAACACGAACTGAAAAATTGAAAGAGTGAAAAACAACTACGCTTGTATTCTCCTTTTCATTGGAGCATGGTCATACTTCCAATTTATATGATGAAAAGGAATAAGAAGGAATGTTTTCAAGGTCCAAATATCGTTCTACATTCAGATCCAAGTAAATCTTTGCTGGGACATTTTTAGGTGAATTAAGAAAACCATTTACCATAATCAATGATTTTTTGGATAAAATATTAATTTTTAGGTTATAAAAAACCTTTCTAAGAAAACTATCCTTTTAGTTAAGTCGCATTTGGATAATAAAATAAAAGAAACAATCTTTAGTTTGAGGGACCATTTTAGATATTTATGGGACTACCAAACGATTTAGTATTTTGAAGCCCAAAATTAGTCAGCATGTAGTATACGGATCAAAATCTAAAACATTAGAGTTTCTGATATTTTTAAAATTTTAAAGTATATGTAATAGAGTATGCGAAAAATCTTTCATAATTTAGTACCTTTGTTGTTGATAAACAGAGAAATTTAAATCTATTATTTACCTCCTAAACATGCCTGAACTTTGAAGAGTTCTGCAATAGTCCACAATAATGGAAGAATTCCTAATAATTTCCCATATCTTGGCAGAATTTTTCACCCAATCACGCTCAGACACAGTCCTTGAGAAAGACGGACCTCTCTTTGACAAAACCTGATCCCGCAAATTCCATAATGCTGAAATGTGGCTTTCATACTGTGGCTTCAAGGAATCATCCTTATCTCTGGATGGAATAAGAAATAATTTCAAAAATTCAGATTCTCGACCAGCACTTTGAACGTTGGAAGTAACAGCAGAAACTTGACTCTCTTTGGCAGTGTTGTGGTTTTCTGATCTCACAAAGGATGACGAGCAAAAGAATTGTGTGAGTGCCTTCTTCAGTTGAACAAGATTACATGGTGCTAGATCTTCAGTGCATAGCTTTGTATGCACAAATACTGGATCAGCCATGTACTCTCCTCCACTATCTAGAATTCTGTCTCTGTTTTCTTTCTCAGAGCTTTGACGATGAGAAAAGGTTAAAGATGATGGATCAGGTATCCCATGCTTTAGCAAATCAACCGTTGACATGAGTTGCCACATGCTAGCATCATGGACTCCATCTGATACCACCAAGATCATGTGACAAATGGATGCAAGAAGAACACCAAGCTGGATGCTCAAGAGTTCATGAGCTAGCTCAGCTGATAAAGATTCACCGCTTATTATCGGTATGGTGGATGAGCCATCTGGTCTTATCATTTCAGCCAAAACCGAGGGGCTAAAAACAGGCTGTGTATCAAGCAGTATAATCCGTTCAGATGAAACCCGTGGTTCAATGCCAACCGTGCAATGTTTCGCCATAGCCCTTGTTTCTTCTGTTTCTATGGCAAAAGGAGGAAGCGTTCCAGGCAAGCTAGCATCAAAACCATAAATTTCGTTCATTATCGTCGATTTCCCAACCCCGGGAGGACCAATCACACCCACTACTGTAAAGTCCGTATTATCCGTTAGAAATGGGAGAAAACGATCCGTGTGGAAATCCCAGGTGTCAGAGAGAAGATTAAGAGATCCAACAGAGGGAAGACGTGGGCGGTGAGCTGCTGGATCATCGTCAGGTCCACCACGGTTGAACTTACCGGCGGAAACAAGTCCAGGTTTGGCTAATAGGATTTTGGGAGCTTGATGAGACACAGATGACTGATTGGAACTAAGATTTCCACCACTGCCTGCCATCAGTTCCTTTTTCTAGCCTGTTCTCCGATTTGGCTCACACTCACAGAGGTTGAAGTAGCCACAGCTTCTGATAACAATTTCAAAATGAGTCAGACTACTGGTAGTCCTCTTTGCAGCTTGAGTAGCTTATGCTCAGAGGATCGACCTTTAAACTGTAGGCTCTGAGCTCTGATAAGACCTAGAGCAATGGAGTTTATGCGGATTGATAAACATATAGCTCTCTTCTACAAAACAGGATGAACACTCTTAGCTTGCTATCCAAATTAAAAAAGCTTCAGCTTGCCATTTTGTCAAGAAAGGATTAAGAAGCCTTTTGACGGAAATTGGCACAATACACTTAATGTATAACTAGCATACATTTTTTTCATGAATCGTTGCATACATTACTATAAAATGAACCAGATCACTCAATGTATTGAGAACACTTGTGCTAGGAGTTTAAACATGACACCATGTTCAAGAGTCACAATACTCTTGCCTACACAGGGGGCAATCCTGTTCTTTCTTTTTATTTCAGAAGTTGGTATGTCTTAGACTCTTAGTTCCCATAGTGAGATGGATTAATTTTCTTATTAACAGACATCATAAGATAAGATGATTTTACCTATTCCACTTATAAAGAATTCTAAATTTTGTCAAAAGATACAAATTTTGCACTAAAAAAAAGTACAATATCAATTTGAAAGACATATATTTGAATTTTTTTAAAAAAGTAAGAAGTTGTAAGAAATTGGGTTGTCTTGGAGGAAAAAGATCCATGTCCAACTGGTGGCATAAAAGTTTAGGCTAAAACAGAACATGATATCAATAAGGGAACATGTGTTTGGTGGCCATTTTACCTGAGCACCAAACGTAATCATATATGCAAACTTGAACATAGTCAAAAATAAAATTAATCATAGGGACATCAATTGCTGCTTTTGAAAGCATGAAACAAAAAAAAAAAGAGCATGAAACACTAAATTAGCTTTGGTATCCAAAAAACCGAAGAAACTAACCCAAAAAAAAATCAAATTGTAGATGTGAGCATGCTTATTAATATTGATAGTTCAAATGACTTGAAGTGATCCCTTCATACTAATATGTGGCCGTACCTTTGTAAAAAAAGGTCAACTTGAAATTTCATCCAAAAAAAACTGTGAGCAGATTTTACAGAGAAGCATAAATTTGGGAATTTTGCCTCATGAGTTATCCATTCACAAGCGGCTAAGATTTTGTCAAACTTGAAGCAGAATGCAAAAAATAAAAACTTCAACCAAGCAGATAAGAGACCAGATAGAAACTGGAAAGTGAAAGGTAAGGGGGAAGACATACAGTTAGCGGCGAATTTGAAGATTGACGTCGCTCGTTCCTCTGATTGGTATCGCCTATTTCAATCTCAAGAGCTCTCCGATTTGTACACAAGCAAGAAACCTCAATGCTGGGCTCTGCTAACTTCTTTTGGGCCACAGGAATCCAGCCCATGAGTTTACTATATTTTTGGGCTAAAATTTTCAAATTACAATGAACAACTCAAATTATTACGTAAATACGTTTCATGTATTATCTATCAGAGTTTGATTTGTGCTTTAAAATCAATTTCAGTTTAATTGGTAAGAAAATCCTCACACAATCGTCTGTGTGTGGATTTATTTGTATCAACAAGAGAAAAGTGTCTGCAATAGAAAAGCACAAAGGTTAGTTTGTGTTGCCAACCACCAAAAGTAATACTAGAATTTATGAAATAGGATATAGATAGCATTAAATTCATTGTTATACAATTCGAAGTAAAATAATAAATTTCATATAATCTTTTTTGAGTTACCAATTTAACAATTACGGAAACCAAACTAATAACAAATAAAATAAAAAAATTTACAAAACCATTTAACCTAATCTCAATAACAAATAAGCATTACTGACTTTTTCGATTATACCGGTTATTGCATAAAAACCAATATTTCCATCACAATATCTTGCAAATCTCTTCAAGTATCTTGATGTTACTGCATAATTGATGTACATCCTAGAAGATTGAACGTATATTTATGATGTCATAACCTTGGCAACCATAAAGTGGCAACTACATGAGGGCTACAAAACGATAGTCGGTATAAAATATTTTACGGACCAAAATGCCAAACATTAGGTGGTAAATTGCAGAGCTTCTGATATGAATTTCAACACGAGTCACATCTACTGCTTGTCCTCCTTGGGGATGTCCTTCTTTGGTATCTCCTTTGGTTTTGCCTTTTCCATTTCCCTGCAGAAACATCAATGGCATGCCATGTTCATATAATACACAAACAGAAACATCAACAGCAAGCAAAATGAAGGATTCAATTTACTTAGACAAACAAGTTACTCCTATATAACAAAAGAGAAGATGTGCAAAGATAAAGATAACAATATAAGGAGATGAGAAATGACATGAAAGGATTAAAAATAACGAGAAGTAAAAAGAGGAGATCAAACTCAAACCTACAAATCAAGAGTAAAATTTTAAAATAAGTTCTCTGGGGTACCTAGGATTCTAACTGTAGAATAAAAAACATATTGCTTTCCATATTATTCCTATTATGCATTGAAATTTGGTTCAGCAGAACTTGCAGTACCCAGAAGAAAGATTGCAGACCATCTTTCTCTGGAATAAAGCTAGACAACACTTCAAAAAATGTTCTTTTGCTCATACTGTCCAGCACGTCTTTAGCCAGAACTGCATAAACAACCAACCTAGGTTGCGATACGATACAGAATCAGACAGCAAATTAGCAAAAGTTTTCTACTGTCAAGGGTGAAGAATTACCATTAAGGATGGGTGTACTTACATAAGAATTAAGATGTATATATAACCTAGAAGAAGCTATCAAAACGTAATTTAGAACTACAGATACCGTTTGATCAACTTCATGAGTCAAAGGCCAATAATAATTAAGCCAGCTGAAATGACTGGAGAATGCAACAACCATGAAAATGGGGATGCACCCAAGTAGGCATTGATCAGAGGCCTAAACCTCAGATATGGCCTCAGGGGATGTATCAATCAGAGCATAGTGGGGATGCATCCACCATGACAAATCTCAGCCAAACGACCCTAAAATTTCCTAGGCATTTAAACCTCTCATACTAAACCCTAATCCTAATAAATACAACCAAGTTTTGGCATTGCTGTCATTCACTGACCTACCACATGAAGTGATTAAGACTGCTGTGATTCCAGACAGCTAGTCAATGTGAGTGATAATACCTTGAGTAGCTTATGGTCAGATGATCGACTTATAAACTGTATGCTGTGAGCTCCAATAAGACCTAGAGCAACAATGTTTATGCAGATTGATAAGCATATAGCTCTCTTCTACAAAATAGGATGAACAAAACAAGCAAGTTGTTAAAATTAAAGATTTCAGCTCGTCGCCTTGTCAAGAAAGGATTAATAAGAAGCCTTATAGGAAATTGGTAGAGCATATTTTTTTTCTTTATAAATAGCATATATTTTTTATTCATGCTTCATACCACACATAACTACTGCAACATGAACAAATGCCATAAAGAAGTCTCCATCTATACCATAAAGGAGTCTAAACCTGACACCACGTTGAAGAGTCACATAACTCCATCCTGTTTTTTTTGGCTTTACGAAGTTGGTTGAATAAGTTTTAGTTACCATAGTGAAAATAGATTGATTTTCTTATTAAGAGACATACATAAGATAAGACGACTTTACCATATTAACTTATTCATACTTATAAGTTCTGTTAAAAGATACAGATTTTGCATGCAAAAAGGAATTATATGAACATAATATTTGGGTGACCAATTTGAAGGCAGAAGATTCATGTCCAAGTGCTGCATACAAGTTACGGCTAAAACAGATGATGATATCAATAAGGGAACATGACATTCTAGATGACCTCCAAAACATAAGCATATAACAACAACAATGACACATCACAATTTCGAATTATGTAGGATATTAGCAGGAAGATCAAAGAAGCAAGAACATTCTTAGAAGTAGACGTAACTAGAAGCGCTTAGTGTTAAGCCAGTCAACTATAACCCTATTACAACTAGTTCTACAAAACAGAGCACTAATTTTGTTCATCAACGACTTTTTTTTTTTTATCGGAAGTTCAAAGAATGCAGAAAAATAGTAACTTCAACTACATATCAAAATGAGCAGAGCAAATAGTTCATACTTAGCGGCAGAAGCTGACTCTTCCTCGAGCCAATGGCGAATTTGACGAACGTTACGCTTGAAGATTGAGGCAGACTGTTTGACATCGCTCCTCATCAGTAAAAACACGGCGCTTACTCCGACCACCGTGAGTATAAAGTTGGTTAAAGCCATTTCAAGATGAATTTTGTTTCTTTGATTGGTATTCCAATATCAAAACCTCTAAAATTAGCGACTAATCAAGTGGATATGAAGAGATGATAACGATGGTGATCCGATTTGTATGTAAGGGTTTTAGCAAGAAAATTACCCCAAATCTGCACAACAATTAAATATTGGGCTTACTGACGTGTAACTCTTTTGGGCCACAAGATGTCACTCTAAGCCGGTAGATTCTGAGTTGGGCTAACTAGAACTAGCTTTTGGGCTAACAATTTTGAGGAAAATGCTGATGAATTACCTTAATTATCACAAAAATACTTTAATTTCAAAATTAAATAGTTTCAATCATAAGTTTCACAAGTTAAATAAAAATACAACAAAGTAAGAATAAATATTGCTTAATCGTGATTAACCGATATGCAAACCTACTAATTGCAATAATGTTATGAAATTCTCACCAAAAATTAATTATTAAGATATCACGTAACAAAATATTAGAATTCACGCTAAAAATAATATATATTGACTTTCATAAACAACAATTTCTTTTGGAAAGAATATAGGAATAATGGTTTATTATACCTTTCGATTTTGTCACGAGAATGACACATACTCTTTTTTCTCTAAAAGATTTTTTTTTAAAAAAACAAATTTAGTATATTTTTTGCATTGTTTTATTTTTTAAAGACACATTTCATGTAAGGGTATATTTTGATACTTCTCAGATGTGCGCCCAAAGCACAATAGTTAAGAATACTCGTGAGACAAAAATAGTTGGGAATACTTGTGAGGTAACAATTGGAAAAATAGCAAATCAATTGAAGTTCATTTCTTTGAGAGATTGCTAATACATGCGCACATATTGTATATACATTTATGTTGAAGCAGGAGAAATGTTTTTTAGTAGTTGATTTAGAGTATAGTAGCAACAATATGATAATACTACTAAGAGTGATTAGGTCTGTGTGCATTTTTAAGCGTTGGGCTCTCTCTTCAGTCTTCAAATCCAACTACTCAAAAAGATAGTGCAAGGACCAAAGGTAGAAGTCAAATTTTCTGCAAAAATAAATGATAAAAGAGAGCTATAATAAGTATCAGTTAGGAAATACACTATGTATATACAAAAGTCACTACTTAACATTGGCATGCACAAGTCACAACTTTGAATGATCAAAATTGTAAGTGTGCCAAATAGAAAGCTTTGGAACCATGTATCTGAAAAATGTCTATACCCTTCACAACCTAATATATGTTGTGAGGGTATAAAATACATACAAAATGTGAAATTGTTTTGGATTATAATTTTAAAAGTTAAATGAAAAGGTAACATCCCAACAACTATCTAATCTAATCACTTTTTATTTGCAACAAAAAAGAAGTAGAACAATTTTATTGCCTTAGCATCTCAATTGACAATTGAACATATCACAAAATATCAATACAAACCTTGACCGAGTCATTGCTCTCTAATAAGTTCGCACAGTAACAAGGCCATGATGCTCTTTTAGCTTACAACTATATCATTTTCTCCCAAGAGTATTTCTAGAATTGGTGGCAAGGTAAGGCCTAGAAAATCAGTTGATTCCAGTAATTTCTTATATATTCAATAGAAGAATTAAAGACCAAAACTTGAAAAACCCATACAAGTAATTGTTAAATACATACATAGAAATAAATAACAAACCCTAATCCTTTTTTTCTCCTTTAATTTGACTATTTAATAAATCCATTCAACTTAATTTAAAAAATGATAATCTTCGTAAAGATCAAAACTGAAGAAAATTGAAACAAAAAATATTTAAAATACGAATAAGGAATTCAAATAATGATAAATAAAGAAATAAAAAGATTATGTGTATAAATTTCATATATACATATAATTTTTTTTTAAAAAAATCCTTTTAAACGTTAGTAAAAAAATATGCACAAGTTATTTTTATAAAAATAAAAATATATGTGAGTCACTTAGGTAAATATACGAGTGCGAGTGCATATGGGTCCCTCTGCTTGTAAATGGGTGATGAAATTTTTAACCAAACTAAGTCATTATATAAAATAATTTACCAAAGTAATACATTTTTCTAAAATTTTACAAAACTAGTATAAAAGTATTTCACGGTAACGTTTTAGGGTATATTTTATTTTTAAAAAACTAACAGCATTAGGTTGATGTACGTTACTGTAAGTAACGTTTTACTCCTAAAACGTCATTTCCAGTAACGTTTTACTCCTAAAACGTTACTATGAGTAACGTATATCAATCTGACGCCATCAACTTTAAAAAAATAAAATATATCCTAAAATGTAACTGTGAAATACGTTTATACTAATTATGTAAAATTTTAGAAAAACATATTATTTTGGCGAATGACTTTATATAATGACTTAGTTTGGTCAAAACCACCATAATTCTCCTCTTTAATAATACAAATTTATCTATTTTCAGTACTGATATACTACTACTTTTTGATGTGTCTCAAATATAATATCATATTTATATATTAAAATTGTTTTAATTTAAACATACATATTGTAATAAAATACTTATTTATAGTTCAAAAAAAAAAAACTCGTGTGGAGTTTCAATTTTGGAAAGATATATATATAGTGCATATTGGAAGGTTTCTTTTGGAAGTGTAAAATAGTAGGATATGAGGAAATTGTAGAAGCAAAATAAGCTGAATTCCACTTGCTGCTTGCAAACAAAATAGAAAAAGGGACTTTTTATATTCATAAGCTAGCACCTTATAATCCACAACGAACGGTTGAAGACAAAGAGAACATCTATCTTATTTACAAAGAGAATCACTAAAAAAGAAAGAAAAGAAGGGTGATGTGTGACTAATCGGACATGGAATATCTACGCTATCCCATCCAAAACTATATATTGTTAGCAATATGGATAACAAGAAATCTCTGGTTACTGGCTAATTAACACTATTATAACCATTAAAATTTGATTGGTGTTGTACATGTCCGAGTAAAGCAAAGCATTAGAGAAGGGGGGCAAGAAAGAGTATAAAGCATAGCATGCGCACTATTTACTAGTCTATAAGTATCCTTAAGCCTATACAAGTGGCCACGCCACCTGAAAAATGACATACCCTTTTATGAATTACTCCACATATGATTCTCTAGTTGTTATCTAAAGGAATCTATATAATAATTCTGAATTGGCAACCTAACCCTAGAGTAGCTGTTATATTGATTCATAAATAGAAACATGCGTCATGCATACGATGTCCTTAATTATTCCTTCCATGACATTTGATCACTTAATTAAATGTTGTATCATTTATATAATTTTCTAAACGAAGCGATTCTTTAAGCTAGCCTCAAAATCATTGTGATTTTGATCGAAATTATCAGATGATGATGTGCTAGTACTAGATATGTGTAATATATACATATAGAGAGACGCACCCATACCTGTACCTCAATATTTCAGAATTATATTCCCTAGCAGTGAGTGAAGGGTGGGAATTGGTGACAGAGACATTGTCCTAAGCATACATATATTCTTCCCATTAAAAGTACAAAAAAGAAATAAACTTTTTTTTGCCTAATTAAGTTCGCTCACGAAAACAACGTGATGTCAAAACCACATCATATTATAAAGCGTTTAAAGGTTATATTCGATGCACTAATTAATTAATAGTAGTAGTAACTAAGAAGATGTATATTCGGAAAGATCACAGATAAAATTAAGAATTAAGAAATATCTGAATTGAATTTACTCTTGATTTGCCACTAAATCTACACTATGTTACTGGTAAGATATTTTACTTATTATATCGGAATCTCCTATCAATCTTTGTAGATATTTAACCAAATATAGTATCTTAGCATAAGATGACCTGTTTCTGGTTCGATATTATCTATATGATAAGTGAATAGTATTAATTGGATTGCATACTATCTCAACTAATTGTCTTTTTTTCTTCTATCAGTATCAAGTCTATATTTATATACGTGTGTCTTCATATTTATTTTCGATTGTAACATTGACAATCTTTCCTCTTCAATTTATTTCTCTAATTGATTCTTATGGTGTTCTACAAGAGATAAAGTGTGTAACGTATTAAAATATTTTTCAAATTTTATGGTCTCAATTCTTAAATAAGTGATGTAGAATGTTGATATAAAAAAAAATACTCCCTATGTGATACCTTTTCTTTTAATCCTTCTCAAAAAAAATATCGCCTTATTAGTAACAATTTAATTTGGAAAACATTTTTGTTTAACCTTTTATAAAAACAATTTAACGATAACACCAAAAATTTAAAATTATTTTAGATCAAAAATTCTTTTGTAAAAAAAAACATCATGTCCAACCCAAATGATGCTGAAATCGGAAAAAAAAACAAAAAAACTAGAATGTACTTAGAAACGGGTCTTATTCGGGGAATCCACTCCTCTATATTGACAGCACATTCAAAAGTCTTATTCATCACTTAAAAAAGGAAGTCGTGTGCGGGTATACTGCATAAGTTAATTACTTTGGAATAAGAATCGTGCAACTTTTTATTTTTATTTTTTATTCTGTGTGTTAGTAGATAATTATTACAACAACTAACGTATGAGTTTCCCTCCTATTGTTAGTCCTAAATTAACATTCCAGATTTTTTTAAAAAAAGATTTTAGATATCAAGGGGAGACGGATATATAAAGCAAAAGGAATAATACTACGTACCTGATTAGTGATTCAACTTTATCTTCATATCTAAGCAAATTACAGTGTGTGGAGTAGAAAAAAAAGGTTACATTTTGGGTAATAAGAATTTTGTGGGTACGTAAATGTTTTAAGACTCTCTCTCTATATATGCCCCTGTTGATGTGTCAGCTTAATCCAATATCAGAATTGTAAATTAGAAGAAAATGGAGTCGATCCGTAAGCGCAGAACAGGGTTTATGAAAGGGAAACTAGTGAAGTCGTTATTCCGAGGTAGAGCAGTAAAGGCGAGTAATTATTACGAAAGGGAGGATAGTTCTCCTCCTATTTATCATCTTCATCTTCATCATCATAATCTTGAGCCAAAGGAAAAACTTGCTCCTTATAATCCAAATAGCATAGTTATAGTGAATCAGGAGAAAGCTGCACCACCACAAAGGACAAAAGTTTCTTATTACATTCCAACCCATAGTACCGGCCGCGATTCTAATGATAATAATAGTGACACAGACGAAAGCGTTGACATAAAGGCTGCCAACTATATATCTTGTGTGCAGGAGCGTTTTAGGTCAATTTTAAAATAAAAAAAATATATATAGTTGATTTTGTTGTAGTAAATAAAACACATGCATGTCTCCTATATAGATGATGTAACGTATAATATTATTTCAAGAGAGAAACGACACATTTTAATTTCTTGTTTAAAATCCTATAGTAGAGCCTCATTTCTCTTGTTAATTAATGTCCCTTTCACGCCCATCGCTTTATTCTTGTCGCGAGAATCAACCTATACTAATACTACTATGCCTAAGCTCGTTCACGCAAGACATGTCAAAATAAAGGACGTCATAATCAACCATTAAGATGCACTACTATCCTATCCAGTGTATGTAAAGTTGCTGTTTCCAAACATAATCACACAACAAAGTAACAAAAACTCAACTATTAATTCTTCACAGTACTCTACCCTAATGTATCTACCAATCACTTCTGATAATCGGATATACCATCACCAATGGACTTTAAATTATATACCCTACATATTTTTAATTTGTATTTTCTGTTTCAAATTCAAATTTTAGAATATAGAAGCTTTAGTTTTTTAAAAAGTGATTTATCAAAACACACATTTAGAAAGAATATTTATCAAGATATTTACTAATTTGTGATTACCTAATAAATGACTTAATCCCTTTCCAATGTCAATGCATAGAAGTTAATTAAACGCTACCCAAATATAATGCCTAGGGTAAGACATGGTCTATATTTTTAAAGGAGGTTCCACGATTTAATTTTTTATGTTAAAGGTTTTTTTTGTACTAAATTGAAACCCATTATATATATATTTAAGATTGTTGATTCTTATCTAATATTTATTGTAATTTTAATAAATTTTTATACATCAATTTATGCTCCATATCGAAAGATATATGAATTCAGATGAAGTCGATTTCTATACATTAGATCCACTTCTATTTATTGTTAGATACTGTCTCCATCCACTTTTAATTGTCATATTGTGCCTTTCGAAATTCAATATGACTAATTTTAAAAGTTAAATTAGATTAATTCAATACATATAAAAATTTGAGATTCAGAAACTATTACAAAAAGTATCATAAAATGTAATTTTTACATATCAATATGATGAAAAAGTACATTATAAAATGTTAGTCAAGGTGTATCGTTTGACTCTAAAAAAGAAAATCACAAAAACTTTATATATTAAAAAACTATTACAAAAAGTACCATAAATTGCAAATTTTAAATATCAATATGATAGAAAAAAATACATCATAAAATGTTAATCAAAGTATATAAAAAATCATGACAATTAAAAGTAAACAGAATTAGTATCATTTGTCTTTGTGATCAATGAAAAGTAAAACAGTTTTAGACCATCTCAAACCTATCTCTATTTTACTTTCCATTCTCTACAGTTGGAGAGTAAAATAGAGAATGGACACTCAACCGATCTCTATATCACCCTCTATTCTTCAAATATAGAGAGGTGAATAGTAGTTCTCCAATTTTACTTTTTGACTGTTTAATTATTATTTCTATTATTTTCTAATTAACATATTATTTTACATATAATATCATTTATTAAGTATCTAATCTTCATACTTCGTTTTAAATGTAATATAGTATTTTAAAAAATATATTATTTAATATATCGTACTTTCATCCCGAATTAATAGTATTTTAATTTTTTTCTAATTTTCATCAATGATATAATTTGATATTATTATTAATTTTCACTATATAGAATAAACACAATTAAAATGATAAGATGAAAGTTTTAATTTTAAAAAGAAAATGCAGAAGTACCCCTCAACTTATGCTCGAAATTTCAGAGACACACTTATACTATACTAAGGTCCTATTACCCCCCTGAACTTATTTTATAAGTAATTTTCTACCCCTTTTCGGCCTGTGTGTCACTAGCTTGAAAGAAAAAGTCAACAAATTTTAGACCCATAAAATAGTGCCACGTAGGCCGAAAGGGTGTAGAAAATTATTAATAAAATAAGTTTGGTAATAGAACCTTAGTATAGTATAAGTGTGTCTGAAATTTCGGATATAGGTTAAAGGGGTACTTGTACATTATCTCTTTTAAAAATAAAATACATAATATGATAATTTAAATACAATATAATAATACAACACATAACATTATAATTTAAATACAAGATAAAATACTATACATAACATAATAATTAATTCGGAATGAAGCAATAATCTGTTCAAAAAATGTTGAACGTGCATTCGGAGTTTTACAATCACATTTTGCAATTATTATAGGACCTCATGTTTTTGAGGAAAAGAAGTGCTACATGAATAATAACTACATGCATTATACTGCACAACATGATAATTGAGGGTGAACATGATATCGATCTTAATGCACCAATTCAAGATGTCGTAGAGGTTCTAACTCTAACGATGAAAATAGTGGTAGATGAAAATCTCCGATTTTGACATTTTTTAGCCATACATAAAAAAAAATTAAGGACAATAATGCTCATTTTGAACTCTATATGCATTAATAGAGCATTTATAGAAGTAACGTAATAATTTCAAAAATTGAGTGCTTATGTAATTGTATTTCAATCTTATTAGAATTTGTCCATTAATTTATATATTATAGCATATTTTCTTGAAATTTATGTTCTTTAAAAATTTAGAATAAAATATCATTTTATATTAAAAAATATTTTGAAAAAACAAAATGTTATATCACATGAAAATTATATAACTAATTGTTGGGAAAAGAAAAAGGAATTTATATTATGAAATAAAAATAATAATATAATATTGAGGAGTGAGGAAAAGATTCATTTTTAGAGACTAAAATAGAGAATTGGGTAAGAGTTGGTTATTTGGAAAAATAGAGAACTCTATATTTGAAGAGTAAAATAGAAAGTGAGTGTATATATATATTGCCTTTTCTTTTCTTTTGTATATAAAGTCCATATTCATTATAGGGTATTATGCCATTTTCTAGATGTTATGCTGGCGCTAAGTATCGAGTCCTATTCAGGGTATCTGCTCCTATTGACAACACATTTAAAAGTTTGTACATCCACTTGAAAAGAATCGTGTTATATTATATCCTGTAGGCCTATATATATATATATAGCTAAAATTTGAAATAGGAAATCATTATTCATTTATGTTATCACCAGATAATTAAAGTTCATATATGATCACAACAATATAGTATCAGTCAATTAGATGCTATTTCCGGACAAATTAAAAAGGATTTGACATATCAAGAGGAGGCAGATGGATATAGCATTGGTACTTCAAGTCTTATCAATTAGTAGATAGATAATACTAGTTATTATGTTTGTATAGTGCATAGTTAAACTGCCTATATATACCCGCTCTCACGGGTGCTAGAGTAGATATATCTTGTAAAAGCCTTTTGCCCAAAAACACAAGAAATATATAGTAGTGTATTCATTAATGGAGTTGAACCGCAAGCGCAGAACTGGGTTCATGAAAGGGAAACTGGTGAAGTCTTTGTACCGCTCAGCAGCACCAACTCATGTACCATCTTCGCCAAGTAATAATTATTACAGTAGCTTCAAAGACGACCATAGTCCTCCTCAAACTGTTTATCATCTTCAACTTCATCATCATCATCAGCCGCCAAAGGAAAAACTTGTTCCTTTTAATCCAAATAACATCAATACATCATCCAGTTTTATTGTGAACCAGGATCAAGCCGCTCCTCCACAAAAACCAAAAGTTTCATATTACATTCCCCCGAAGAGTAACGGTACTACTGATTATAATTATGGAGACCAAAGTGTTGATATGAAGGCTGCCCACTACATATCATGCGTTCAAGAGCGTTTCAGATCACTTGAACTTACCTGTTAATGAATTAGCTGTAAAACTCAAACATCATACAAAAGTTTGTTGTGATAAATAAAACCATCCATCACATATGGTCGGTCTTTATATATAATCTTTTTGCACCTTCGGCTTAGCTATCATAATATTTCAACAGTGAAATGGCAATTGGTTGTTCAACTTGCAGTTTGAATCATATTGGCACACATCTCTTCTGTTTGCATGAAGGATCACAGTTTGAATATCATCAATATATATGACACTTTCTATTCTTGTTTCATTTCATTGGTAGAATCAAAGAGTTTTAATGTGCAAATTAGAGCACTGCCTATCTAGGGGTTCCAAGATATTCATTAATTAGTAAGAGCCTCGTCTGTTGTCTCTTTCACCAAAAAGTCGGTTGTTTTAATTCGCCATGTAGGAGTAATTATTTTCTTGTTACTTATCCAATTATTTGGTGATGGGATTTTCAATTGACTTGTTAGCAGGAAATAGATAGTATATAGTCCATAGGATACTCGAGAAAAATTCTACCTACCTATTTATTTTCTTGTTACCGGATATAATCTAGATTTTTTATTGGATTGTCCTACTACCGGCTTCATCTGCAACTAATAATAGATATGAAATCAAAACTGTTAAGATATAATAATGAGATGAACGTACGGTAACAACTTTAACTTAAATTCTGGATCCGTTTGATATATTCAACTTCAACGAGTATATATGTTACTGAAAAACAGTCAAACAACTGGCAGAGCATGTAATAGTTGGCAAATTAAAATAAAACACAAACAGATCTATGAGAGTATTCTGGTACACCAACAACCATAATATATAAAAAAAAAAAATTGATCAAAGAAAACATTAGTTTATTAAAATGGAGCATTGGATGACAAACGCTAGCTAACCGGTGTAAATATGGACACCAATGGCAATAAGGAATATGGTAATGAGGCCAAAGAAGAGAATGGTATGTATGAAAATAGAGAGTCCACTTGTCTGAAAGTTTGCAAATTCTACTGCCCGATTATTTCCTGGGAGTTGAAATAGAAGCCCAGGGCTCAATAGCACAAACAGAACCACTGCTATTACAACGGGTCCCCAATCAGCCATCGGTGATGTGGAAAATCTTTATTGAATTTTGGAAGAGTTAATAGACGTGGTGGCTTATCTATTTGAGCAACAGGGAATCTAGACAATTCATACTCTGCCAAAGAGATAATACAAATAAAGTATTTGTATTATCAGCTGATAGCGAACAGCAACAATTCACAACTCTTCTCCTGGACGGCACGGCTCCTTTATGGGCTTTCGCCATTCTAAGTTATAGTTGGACTAATAGCAACAACAGTCCAACCAAACAAACATGGCAGAAACAAAATACAAGAGCCCATTCACTACCAAGACCAACTTCATCGACCCAATATCTGATAACATCTGCTTCTACTAGCACCGAAAATAGTAAGAAAACAACTATAACCATTTGAATACCTAATTACTAACTTAACATCACTCAGCTCCGAGAATTTATCTAGTAAAAGCTACTAAACTTTATTTTGTATCAATAAAATCACTCAACTTAGATATTAATATTTATATTAATAAAATCACTCAACTAAATTTTTATATGAGAAATAATTTCTTTTGTGTTATGAAAATATATAGACTCCACAAATAAATACTATCGAATTCGTACTTTTAAATTTCACTCGATTATTACGTCTTGATCACAGATAAATACAATTGAATTTGTATGTGTTTTTGGTAGTATAGATTAATGTTTGGTTGGGCGGAGATTATATTATGTTTAGTCAGTTTTCTAATTATTTTGTTTATATTAATTACTTACGGTAGAGAAATATTTGGACAAACATTTAAAAAGAAAATACTGTGTATTTTTTAACTTTGGCCAAACATAACTGTTTTCATATTAACATTGGCAAGATTTTATCAAAAAAAAAAATGCTAAAACAAATATCATCCAATTTTTTTTATTTTTTTTAAAAAAAGAACTTTTTAAAATAAGTAGATAAAGTTAATTCCATCATCAAATTAATATTAACTAATAGAGCATTAGTTGCAGTGAACAAAGTTGGCATAGTTTCAATTTGAGTAAACTTAAAAAAAAATTAATTATGAATTTGATTTTATTTATTTGTGGAATGTACATTTGTATGAGATAAAAAATTATTTGATATGTTAATATTTTTTTTGAGAATAAATTTTATTGAGTGATTTTTGTGATACAAATTAAAGTTTAATGACTTTATTAGATAAATTTTCAAAGTTGAATTACTTTTTAAGATATTAACTCCTTGACTAGTTGTTCAAAAGGATCAAAATCAGAATTAAGTAGTTATTCACATTCAATTTCGACCCTCCACAATATATATTAATTTTTAAGTTGAATAATTAGTTTTGTAAAAATTTAAAATATTTTTTCAAGTTTTTTTGTGTGTAATTTTTTCAATTTTATAATTTCTCAACAAAATATATATTTTATGTAATTAGTACATTTTTTGAATATTCAAAAATCGTCTCAAAAAGATTTTCTTTTATTTAAATAATTTACTAATTAGTCTAGTTATATAATAATTAATATTTTTAAATTAATTAGTTTATAATTAAGTCGATTATTTTATTTAGTTAAGATTAAGAAGTTCATTAATTAATTATATTAATTTTTGTTATTTAAGTTTTAGTTTAATTTGTTAATTAAACTCAATTTGATTGACTTCACAACTTTAAGTTGATTAAGTTTGTAACCCACTTGAAGATAATATTGGGCCCAATTCTCTTCTTCAATCAACAAAGAACCCAGCAACTTTTCTTTAACGTTAACAACAAACAGTGGCAGTAAAAGCCAACGGCGTTAACTCTTGTAGCTCATTCTAAAGGTAAAATCCACAAGTGACAAATGAAGCGGCGAGTAGCAACGTCTATTTCCAAACGGGTCAGTAATTCCGTCAAAATACACGTAAAGCAGCAGGCTGCATTTTGTAGTCGTCTTCCTCAGACAATTCGTACAAGTGTCAGTGATAGATGGAGCGATATCAACGATTCACTTGTTTAGCCGTTGGAATTTGAGGAATTTTCGAACAACCAGCAGGGTTTTCAAAAATCGACCGTTGTTCCTATTTTTTTTTTACCTTCTTTTCCCCCCAAAATCGAGCCCTAATTTCGTCTATAAATACCCTCTTTTCCGTTCATCGAAGGGGGTCGTTCTTCACTGATAGTTTATAGAGAAAAAAACAAAGATTTTATAAGGTTGCAGATAGTGAGTTAATGTTTGAACATAAAGCATTCTCGCATTCTCGAATACTTTTAGTTCTGCTTCAACTTTCACGGTATCTCGTTGTGGTCGTAAAGAACTGTTTCTCTGCTCGTTGTTCTCCGTTAGCTGCCCGGAAAGAGGTAAATCCTTTCTTGATTTTGTTTGATTCCCGGTTCTTATATATTGTTCTTTTTATGATGTATTCTTGGCTGTCTTTGTGTTCTGTTTATGTTTTAGTCTACATATGTTAGGATTTGGTTAATGAGTATTAGCTAGTAATATCTTTTCTTTTTATCTGTGTATTCATTCTGTTTTGGAGTGGTTTAGTGTTAGTTGTTAGCACATTAGATCTCACTCTTGCTCGACGATAGACTCTCTTCGTGGTTCATTTTCTTATTCCGACTTTAGCTGAGTTATCTAGTTTTTTATACTCATTGGTTTTGGTATTTTCCCATCGTTTTCTCTTAGGCCGTGATTCCTAGTTTAGTAAAAATTACTCTTATTTGCCTACATCTTTCATTCTTTCAACTTTCTTCTCTCTTGCACTCATTTACTTTAATTTAATCTTAATACATGATATACAGTTTCTCTGTATGCTTTATTTCTTCCAATCGGGGAGTTGTTTTAATGAGAAAGAGTCAGGCTCGGATGAGTGAAAACTCTTTAACTCATTATCTTCATATGCATGTTTGATTTGGTGACATAGGTATTTGTTGCCAGTTCTTAATCGGTTGGTTGCTCGCTGTTTAGTCTAGATATGCCTCTTCTGAAAGTTGCATTGTTAGACTGTCTATGTCACTTCTCTGTTGCTTCATAATTATGGAAATGCATATTTTTTACATTTTGATAGTCCAAGTAAAGTTGCCATAGAGTCTAGTCTTGCAGCATAAATTGTTTTCCTTTTGTTAAAGCGAGTTTTTACCATCTTCTTTATTATTATCATGACCCTAATATGGTCCCATCTTGTCTATGTTTATGATCCAAACAGTTTGGTAAATGTTGAGTCAATCTGTTAGGATGCCAAAATATATAATGTTCCTCTTAGTAGATAAATTACTTCAGTTCTAAATAGAGTGGCAAGTAAATATAGTCATATACATATTTTGTTTAAGTTTAAAATAGATTGATTGTTATGTACTATATTGCCTATGCCTAAGACTGGTCAATGGACCGGACCGAAACGCTACTGGACCGGACCGGAACCTGTTGACAGATATGTTGATCGATACCGGGATGGAATCGAAACGAATCGGAACGGATCGGGATGGAACGGGACAGGATAAACGGGACGATATTTTTGGAATTACGAAAATATAATTATTTTTTTATTTTTTAAGTATAAATTAATAGTTTTTAAATTTATACTATAATTTTTTACTTAAGTTTATTTTAAAAATATTTTATTAATTTTTTTTGTTGTTGTTCAATTTGCAAGTAAATTCTAATAAAGTTTTCAAAATTTAAATCTTTTGACGTTTATACTTTATAAGTTATTACTTATATTCATTTAATATTTATTATAAAAGTTATATTTATAACTTGTGTCTTGTAAATATTAAATAAGTATTTTTTATTTTAAAAAATTAAATTGAAATAAGGATAAAACAATTACAAAAATTAAAAAAATATCAATTCAATTTATTTAAATTTATAACAAATTACAATTTCAATTAACAACTATTAGTAGAGTGTATAGTTTACGAAGCCACCTTCTAGGAAAGGTTCTGTTTCAACTAAGACTCGAATGTAATACTAATAGTTGTATAGTGGTGAATAATTAATTTTAATATATAGAAATTATATAAAATATAAAATATAAATAAATCGGATCGGAACCGGGATAAATCGGTACCGGTACATCGGTACGAAATCACAGTTTCATTCCATCCCGTAGGCCACCGAAACGAAACAAACCGAAACGGTACCGATATGTCTTGTTCTGTTGACCAGTCTTACCTATGCCTGCCCTCTTTCTTTCTTTAAAGTTGTGACAAGTGTTAAAACGCTCAAAGTTTCTAACTAATGTTGCATTAATTGTTATTGAGAGGTAGCGGCTAGTTTGCATAAGCACCGGCCTTGTCTTTTTCTTTCTAGATGTTTTTGATACCTACCATGGGTAGTTTTAATTTAGAAAATATCAATTTGCATTAGTAACATGATTGTAGATTCTTATATGACTAAATGGGCAAGGACGGTGCTTAGCCTGAAAAAACATAAAAGTTAAAATTGCATAGCTCATATATCTTAATATATTGAAGTTTGCAATTTTATATACAAATAAATTTCTGATGTACACTAATTTTGACAAGTAAGATATTTTTGTTCAAAAACATTTTTAAAGAATTCAAACAACATTAAGTTTACACCAATAAACACCCTTTAAGGCATTATGAATATCAATACAACATAACAAAAAAAAATTACTATCAAAATTGCTCATAGACACAGAATGCATTCAAGATTTCTGAAGCTCCATCATTGACCATTTTTTCTGTTTCCTGAGAACATATTTATCTATCTCAGTAATATAAAGCTTTAGAGGTCCAATGGATAATATCTTTTTTTTTTTGAAATTGAGGTTGAATTCTTTCGCATTAAGGATATGTTGGCTACCTCCAAAAAGGGATAATTATAGAATTCCTATCAAATTTATAGTTTGATTTATATCATCTATACAAAGTTGTTTTACACCTTTGATATCCATTTAACTTCGTGGATGAAATTGAATTTAAATGAAAGTGGAACAATATCACTATGCCCATAACAGATCCTTGAGGTCCCATTTCCTACTACACTCATTCCCAAGCCTATTCAGTCACTAAGCGGCGTGTACTTTTCTCCATTTTACTAAAAGGAGCTTTCTTTCTTGTTTTCCTTTTTTTTTTTCACTAGTCTCTGAACACGTGCAATGTACGTACGTGTGTTACATGTGAATTTAGAACAATTAGAATTTTATACAAATCATGTGAAGTGAGTAATATTTTTTTAATGTGCGTCAAGAAACAACAAATGAAAGGCACATTGTAATGTTTAAAATCAATTACTTTGAACATCCATCACTAAAACTGTAATAAAGTGATATAAATAATTTGAGTCTTATAAAAACAAAATTTCATAAAAAACCACACGACAAATAGAAGAAAATTAAAACATACACATCATTATTCACAAGACTTTATTCATATATCTTATAAATGTAAAATAAATATAGTATCATCAATAAGCTATTCTCATTCTGAAGCTACTCGTTTAAAGAGGAAAGACAAAAGGCACAAACCATGAGAGGAAAATATTTGCATTGATAAATAATATTTTATTTCTGACAAAGGTATAGACAATTTACATAATCATTGTTTCACACATCATAACATATTACTAATATAGCAAATTAGAGTAAATATGAAAAAGAAAAATGACAGTGATGAGGATATAATATAAACAATAACAAAAAAAAGTGCAATAATCGAAACACCATAAAAACAACTGATGCAAGAAAGCAAAAGAAAGACGGTACAAGAATAAGAGCACTACTGGCGATAGTCACTACTAAGTCTACACCCTTTTAAAAGTAAGGGCGATAGTCACTACTAAGTCTACACCCTTTTAAAAGTAAGGGAATACTCCACTGCAACCTTCTACCTTAGTCTGCGATCTCGATGCTTGAACATTTTGTATAATTAATAAATCAATTTCTTTTTTCTTCTTAGCTATAAAAGACGAATTAGCTCGTGTATTGTTTGTCAATAATAAGCCAAAAGTTTGCCTAGAACTCTGTAGAGAGCTCAAAAGTTATTTTGGAGAATGTAGAGACATTCTTAAATTTGTTGTAAAACACCTTTTCATTTTTAGTATTTAATATTACATTTGTTTCTATTTAGTTGTTCATTTCATAAATGACACACATATTAAGATAGCGATAATTTTCAAGATTGTGAAATTATGGTTTCAAAAATGATAAATTTAAAACTTGTAAATTTTCAAGAAATTTAAATGAGAGTACAATAGAAATTTTTTTTTGTCCTTTCTTGATTTGTCAAAATGGACAAGTAAATAGGAATAACTAAAAGAGAAAAATATAGACAAGTAAATATGGACAAAGGGGTATAATATTGTATAATTATTATTTAATTACTTAAATATATTTTAACATTTTTAATTAAGATAGGAGTTAAAGATATATAACTTTTACTTTTATTAATTTCCACTTGTAATAATATATAATTAAATAAATCTAAATCTCAACAGGATTTCTTTTGTAAAATGGAGAAAAGAACTATTACCATCCAAAAAACTATTACCATCCAACTATACCATACCATTGACACACTGAAACTTTGAAATATTACCTCGATAGTAGGTCTGATAAAGATGGAAACTGATTTGAGAATCTCCAGCCTTCAGATAAGTATTTCTACAGGTAAAAACATCAGGCAGCACCTGCTGCGACCTTTTCATCATTTTCTTGCTCAAACTAATAACAAGAACAATCACCAACTGAAAATATCAACTAATAATGGTTGTCTAAGTTTAAGTCTTCAAAACTATCAATCTTTTCCATGCTAAGAAAATGTCATAAAGAATATATTGATAAAATGCAACAATTGTTATTAGAGATACCCAGCTTTAAGATTAAGAATGACCACTTTCACAATTTAACCTAATGAAAAATGCTATTGCTTGTTGCAAAGGAATCTGTTGTCGGGAATTTCCACTTGCAGGAACTACTAATCAATGTAATTCAATCACTTGTCAATTTTCATCTAAAAAGTTAACCACAAAGTGAATCCAGTAAACCAATTTAAGCAACAAATATTATCTACGAAATCCCAATCAACAACTACCATCCAATCCCAATCAAGTTGGTCAGCTATATCAAAGTCACTTTTAATGTGTCACGATTGGAATCTAGACCCCAGACTCAAAAGCATGAGGACCTACCAAACTTCGGATGAATGCTGACAACGAACCTGTAACTCTACCGTCCACCTATGCATGCACCTAAAAGTAGATGTTTGTATGGAATTAGTACACACTTGTACTAAATATGGGTATATGCAAGCACACACCAGGGATATGATTTTTGGTAGTCAAGTCAGTGGACATGCCAAATTGAGATTGGGAAAGTTATGCCATGAGAGTGACTTGCTTCATTATAATTATCGTATGAGACACAACACATAATATCTTCATATAGCACATAACATATAACACATAGCTTCTTTCATATTATTCATTCATATACCATGAGACCTTGTTATCATGGACTTGACCTTAAGACTTTCCAAAATGAGGGCTCAACATATGAGACCTCAACTAGGGAGCCTTTTTTAGCAAACACAGAGTCTGTTTCATTCGTTCATACGTATCTTATTTCAGTTCATTCATAGGCCAGTGTGAATACCATCTATACCTACTATGTAATTTAAGACTTTCATCGGGTTTGCTGTGCAGTGATCATGAATAATCTAATGTCATTACCTGAGTCTAGCTCACCTCTTGATTATCCTATCCTAAAACCTTTGGTATCATTCATTTCTTTATATGATTCATTTGAGGTTGACCTCATTCATTCATTGGGAACTTTAACTTTAACCGACATAGATAATATGAGCATCATGAAATTCAGTGTCTCCCACACACCGAAAAGAGGTGGAATCACCGGTCAAAGTGACTCAATAACATGCTAGCGTATATGGGAATTTAACCTCGCCAGATCCCTATAGTGACAATATAGGTTCAAAGACTAGGAGATGTATGGAGACTCATACTCGGCAAGCCGGACAGTCTCATCTCATGAGAGTTACGTGAACTTCCGCCCTTCTCGAAAGAAAGCATCACCGCTCATAGCTAGCCTATCGGTGTTCAGTATAAAGTTCCACTACATTCAACTCCTACATCATGGAAGCTGAATAGATGATTTCTTATCTCATCATTAGTATTAAGTGTTTTAAACTCAATATTTTCATTAGAGTGTTCATAGAGACTGATCTCTTCATTATCTTACACTCTCATTGGTGAGTACGTATTGGTAACATTTACTTAGGCTCATTTGAGATTGCTCTCATCATATACATTAGCCTCACACCATGATTGTCACCACATTCTTCATTATTAGCACCTTTATTTTTCATAGTTACTCATATCTTATTACGTGAATGTTCATTTCTTTATTTCATAGTTCACCTCATTATATGCCAATGCATTTGGCCATTTAGTGTATCTTACACTTGTACTTCACCCTCCTAAGGTTCATCATTTCATTACGTACATCTTAGGTTCACTTAATTTTTGAACGTATGTTAGACTTATGTGTCTATACATACAAGCCATGGGACTTCATTCATAGTTCGTTAAGTGATTCTTACTTTCCTAAGATTATGTATTGCAAGAATTATGTATCTTGTATATATGTCAAGATCTTGATTTTTGATCTATGTAGATGGCATTATTCTTGAATATTTTTACTCACTCTGACAATACGGAATTGGGCAAGGGAACCCGATTTTGAATCCCTTGAACAACACTTAATCTTATTTTAAACTTTGATAATTGCATTTTTTAGATTTGGGAGACCCTAGTTCGATTCCCATCAACACCATAATATTTCTTTCTTGTTCTCCTCCCCTTTTTCGTTTCAAGGCAAGGAGGTTGTGGGTTCAATCTCTTACAAGCTCATTATTTTTTTCTTTTAATTTATTTCTTAACTTTCTCACCTATCCAAGAGGCTGTGGGTTCAATCCCCACTCTCCACATTTATTTTTCTCCTTTATTTTTCTCCTAACTCCCCCATCCATTCAAGAGGTTGTGGGTTCAATCCACTCTCCACATTTTATTTTGCTCTTTTATTTTCATCCTAACTCTCTCATCCATTCAAGAGGTTGTGGGTTCAATCCGAACTCTCCACATTTTATTTTCTCCTTTATGTTTCCCCTAACTATCTCATCCATTCAAGAGGTTGTGGGTTCAATCCCCACTCTCCACGTTTTATTTTCTCCTTTATGTTTCTCCTAACTCTCTCATCCATTCAAGAAGTTGTGGGTTCAACCCCCACTCTCCACATTTCATTTTTTTACTTTTTTATTTTCATGGTTTTTAAACATGGTGAGGTCACGGGTTCAATCCTCCATGACCTCACTTGTTTTAATTTATTTTTTTCAACATTTTGAACCCTCTTTGCTGACCGAAATTCATCAATAGAAGCTAAAAATTTTCTTTTAATTTTTCAGCATCCTTTCATCAAGTTACACCTTAGTTCTTAGGGGAATTTCGTAGTGCATTTATAACCATATAGGTGCGTCTTTATGTATTCGTTTAGCTAAGACATTATCCCTGAAATCAGCCACATTTCAACTCATATGAACATCACATTTATATTAACATGTGTACATGAAATATAAAGAACTATCATGCCATTTGAAGTCCTAAACCATGAACAATAGCCATGGCAACAGACACATACATACGTAGTTACATTTTCGGAAACACCAACATAAGTCACATAATTTCAAACATACATAGAAACACATAATCATCACGAAAACACATTCCATCCCTAGTTTTCTACCAGCAAACATAACCAACCTATGATTCAATGGGAGCTAGTGACAAGGAATGAATATTCTCAACCTTAAGGGGTCTCTTGGGAAAGGGACCAAGAGAGAAGAGAACTCATACCTTAATTGATGTTAAAACGCTGATGTTGCTGTCTGGAAACTCCTCCAACCCACGCCCAATTTACTTCAACGTACACCTCACTCGACGAACCTCTCTTAGCCTTGACGTTTTGATTACTTTGTCTTTTACTTAAAAATTCTTGTGAGTTCTTCAATTGTGAATAACTCTTGATGTATTTTCAGTTTTTTAAATTATTTTTTTGGCAGAAACCAACGAGAGAGATATGGAGAACGCAAGAGAGAGAGAGTGTGTTATTAGGATTAGGAGACTAAATTCAAGACTTAGTCAAATAAGATTTCAATTAGATTAATACAAATCTGATTTATTTTAATTAATACGTGAAAGGACCATTATACCCTTAAAATTTCAGATTTTTAATAAATAATTAAATTACCTTAAGTATGTATTATAAAAAATTGAATTAAATTGTAGATTGAGTCAAATAAAAAAAAAGTAATTTTGTTTGATTTGACTTGGTATTGGAAAAACAACTCGACTATATTTGGGTTGGGTTAATTTTAATTAATTAAAAAAAATCAACCCGACATTATATATGAAATTTTAAAATTTTATTTATGCATAAGAATATTTACTTTGATATCATTTTAAAATATTTCTTATACTATTTCATAGTTTTTATCTTTTAATATATTATTTTTTAAGTTTAAAATTTAGAATTCGAAATGATACAATAAAGATTAAGTTCATAGATGTTGATAATTATAATAAAACTTGAAACAAATCAAACTAATACTACTGCAAAAAGAAAATAATTCAACACTTAGAATAACAATAATATTGAATATTTGATCCTATATTGATATGGACAATTATAATATATAATCTAATTTTAATTTTTCTTAAATATTCAAAAATGTAACTAATACTTATTAAAATTATTTTAGCACGATTTAGAACTTTTAAATTATGATTATTTTCATTATGACTTTAACATATTTATTTTATATGATGAATTCATTATTATTTTTTAGTGAATATTTTTGTATCAGCAATACTCATCTCATATTTTATGTTTTTTTAAAGAAACACCTTAGATAATTGTATTTTTGGTGGACTAGAGAAATATTTAGAGCACAAATTGATTATATATTTGTATGCAAACTTTACCGAAAAATTCAAAAATATGGAAAAACCCAAAGTTTATTGGTTTAGTTAAAATTAATAAACTTAAAAATTCGACACAATGATCTAATTTAGTATTTGAAAAATCCAAATCAATTTGAGATTAAAAAACCCGAAAAATTCAAATTTTATTAGTTTAGTTTAAAAAATCCGAACCTACTTGAGACGATTGGCCTCTTTGCTAAGCGCAAATCCACATTGGGCAGCTCTTTTCATCTGTCATGGATCAAAATACAAATTAAAACATTGCTAAGTTAGGAGCTGAAATATAAACTGCAATGTAATCGGACATCATCCTTTAGGCCAAATTAAAGCATTTTGCACTAATGTAAACGCACAAAGTTTTGGCATTTTCTCCGCTTTCCACGTGCACCAGCACCACTTTTCTTTTTCCAAATCTTTTTGAAAGTTTCTCCCACCTTGCTGAATTTTATGTGATAAAATTTGAAAAGCAAAGACAAAAGAAAAGCTTGCGCGTTCTTCAATAATCGGAAACTTAAACACAAAGTTGGTGTTTTCTGTCTACTTCCATAAAGCAAAAAATCCCACTTACACAATTAATACCTTTCTTCCCCTTTAAAACACAAATGCCTGCTTTTAACCCTCAAGTTTAGTATATCCCCTTCTCCTTCTTCACTAAGCAAAACCACTCACATTTCCATTATATCTGCAAACATCACAACAGAGAGAAGCTTACATTTGAGTACCTAACAAAAGACACGATACTTGAAATAAAGATGGTGGCAGATTGGGGGCCAGTGGTGGTTGCAGTGGCGATGTTCATCTTACTGTCACCAGGATTGCTATTTCAGCTACCAGCAAGGACTCGGGTGATTGAGTTCGGGAACATGTACACAAGTGGGATTTCCATCCTAGTTCATGCCATCTTATTCTTCTGTATATATACAATCTTGATAGTTGCTATTGGTGTTCACATACGATCTGGTTGACACCACTAGCAATAAAGGCAGCATTTGAGTTTTCTTCATGACCAAATTTTCATCTCTTCTTGGAATGCTTTTGCAGAAGAGGAAATTCTTGTTTTCTCTTATGTTTCTTTTCTTTTGAGCTAGTTGGATCTACTGAAACACTCTGACAAAGTGTTGTGCCTTGTATATCAAATTCATCAAATGAAAGGAACAAGTTTTTGGACCACTTCATCATATTCTCAGTTCATGATGGTTCATAATTCAGAATCTTTTTTTCCTTTTCCTATTTTATTACAGGGAACATGATATATATTAACAAAATGCAGCATCCTGCTTTACTGAAGATTGTAGTACATCTAATAGACGAAAAGACAGAATCATTCTGTTCTCAAGGCGCAAGCAATGGGTTGCAGATCTCAATGACTAAACCTAAGTTAGGAGTAAATTGGAACTTGAAGAAATACGGAAATAGTCCCTAGTCCATCAATCATACGGACTAGCAAGTAATCGAGATGAGCCCTGCATATTTCTCTATAGAATCCGTTTTAAATTACTAGCAAGAAATCCAAATAAGAGGCTGCAAATGAGTTTACCCTGAAGCAGTCTATAGCTTAATTGTTTTTCCCACCCCCACCAAGAGGATCAATAGGGTTACCATTACCCTTCCTCGTGACTTGAACCTTAACCTACCAGTTGATGGTGAAGGGAGTTGAACGCAGAAATGAGATCACTAGTCATTTTTCCGTTGATAATTAATTAAACTAAGCGTCGTCAAATTACTATATTATGAAATCATTATACTCCAACTCTACTACAGCTTAGTAGCTAACTAATTTAAAACTAACCCCTCAGTTCTATACGAATTAATAATTGTTGAATCGATTATGCTCCTACTCTACTGCAGCAATCACACCGCCTCTGTTTTCTTCAGATTTCGAGAGGCCGGAATATAGTTAAAAGAGATCCCAACTTCAGATACTCAAACCCATTTGAATTAGCAAGAGAAACAGCAGGCAAATTAAATAGGGCATAAGTATAATAAACACAGCGATTCTGATATTTCCTCTTGAAAACAAAATTACAAAGAAACAGACAGTGAGAAAATAGGGCTTACAACTTGGATTAGTGAAAATGGTAGTAGCAGATCTGTAGTAGGTGTTACAGGATCATCCAGTATAGATGTGAACATGAACAGCGAGAATGAGAATAGCATAGAGTGTGAAGAAAATAAGAGTATGAACAGCAATCGCCTTTCCATTAGTCTTCATGCTCCCAAATTCGAGAGTGCGGTTGTTACCCGGTATCTGAAACAGAAGCCCAGGTTGCAGCAGGATGAAGAGTACTACTCCGATGAGCACCGGCCCCCAGTCCGCCATTAACAGAGAGGTATTTCTTTCGCAAAATAGGTGTAGGTGTAGCTTATGGAGAAGGCAGCCAAGAGGAAGATGGAGGAAACGTCTAGTTTACTCACTACTTAACATTAGTATACGTATGACAAGGACACTACTCACTAGGAGTTTTTGGATCTATCTGGGACGTAAAGCCACTTATTATGTATTAGTTCGATGAAAGATCAAAATAGTTCCTTTTTATTTTTTAGCATTGATTTTATTCATATTTTATGTATAAAATGTTTCATCGTCATTTTATATATTTAGTAGAAATAACAATTTTATATGAAAGAATGGGAGAAGAAAAATATTTTGTTTTGTTTAGTAAGCGATTTATCATGATAATTCCACATGCAATTGTACAATTTTTTCTTAACCTGCAAAGTCATATATTAAATTTGTTTTTAGTTTAGTTGCAATAAAGTTTCTAGTTAACAGAACAAAGTGTTTTCTTATCACACTTTCTATGTTAGAGTTATTATTTCTATTATATATATATAAAATGATTGGACATTCATTATATAAAATTTTGAACAAAATTAATATTTAAAAATAGATAAAATTGTAGGGTAAACTCAAAAGTGCATCAATATTGAAAAGATCAGGAATTATTTTGAGTCTTTCCTCTATTAGTTTAGAATTAAAAAGAAAATAGTTCTCCCAAAAAAAACAAGTGGTATTCTTGATTTTGGCATTAAAACTACTCATTTATAAATTTTTAAAAAAAAATTACCATCTTGTTTCAAAATTTTATAAATATAATTATTGATCTTAATTATTATGTAAATAAAAATAATTTTGAAAGCATTCATATAATTCTATTCAAAAATAAGAAGACTAAAATATTATAGCCTAGAAATGCTAAACAAGGAGTAATTTAGCTAGCGTTTGGTCATAGATATTCAAATATTTTTGGCAAATATTATTTGGATGAAAATTTGGGTGAAATTTTACCATGTGTTTGGCCATAGAATTTGAGAAACATATTTCATTTTTTCAAGAAATATGATTTATACCCATAAGTTTTTAAAACTATCAAACTAACCATAAATTTGTATTACATAGCACAATAGAAATCTCACGTAACAAGATTTATGACTTCCGCAATAAATCAACAAGAATCATTACAGTAAATATTCGTATAGTGAAAAGGTCTTGGTACAATCATGATAATGAAAATACAACTAATATAAATTCGGGGGAAAAAGAGAAGAAAACAAGAGGAAATAAATATTGCAATCACTGAAGAACATATGCTTTCTCATCTGAAAGAGTTAAACCTATTCTTTAATACAATCTTTCCACATTTTATGAACAATCTCTTCTCGATGAGCTTACATTTTTGAATCAGACGATCGAGAAGATGAAGCGATGTTGTTACCCTGAGCTAGTAGTTCGTCACTTTCATCAACAACCATATCATCATTTTCATTTTCATTGAATATTCCATCACTACTTTGGTGTTCACGTAAAAAATTATGCAACACAGCGCAAGCAATTACTATTTTCACTTGCATGTCACATTCATAGTTGTTCATGCCTTGTCTTAGTATTCTTAATCTACTTTTCCATGCATCAAAAGTTCTTTCAATTACATTGCGCAGAGAAGTATGTTTATAGTTAAATAGCTCTTTTCCATTCTTAGGCTCAATTTAACTTCCTCGGTAGTCCTGCAAATGATAGCGCATTCCAATGAATGGAGCTAAAAATCCTCTTGTGTTCCGTAGATCAGCATCAACAATGTAATATTTATGTACCAAAATAAAATAAATGCAATTCATGTTTTATTTAGTAGCTAGTTCATTAAGACTAACTGTAATAAAGGAATGTATGAAATCAAAAGAATGCATGTAGAAGGGAGCTAATTGAATTGGTTGGTGTCAATAAATATATTATTTTTGTAAAATAAAAAGTTAAGGGTAAAAATTGAATTTCTAAAACTTTCCAAATAATGAAATTTGGCCCAAATACTAATTTTTTCTAGTACTTGGGAATTTGAAAAATTTGCCAAATAATAAAAAGGTGTATGGACAAACAAAATTTGCCAAGTTTTTTTTCAAATTTTACTTGCAAAATTTATGACCAAACGGGCCCTTACTTTCGGCAATTTCTTGATGTTAATTATGCTTCACAAGAAAATAAAGGAAGAGAGAGAATTTTTTGTTTTTTTATAAAAAAAAAAACGTACTTCAACAAAATAGAAAAAAGGAGGGAACAATTTTTTCCGGGTCAAGACACAATTGAAAAATAAATTATTCCAAGGAGAAAGACGCATTGGATACGTAGATATGGCTAGTGATTTAGAAATTCAAAAAGGTCGCAAATTCAATCACAAATCTTATATATTTAAAAAATATTTTATTGAATGAATGTTTATGATACTTTTAAAGCAAGAAATTTCAGTAGTTTATTTTTCTTCAGTATATATAGTGTCTATATAAATCAATTCGTATGAATTAAAATGGTGAAAGAAATTCTTATCAATTAATTAATATGTAATTTGATGAGTATCAATAATTATATAATCTTAATAAACGGTAGGTTATAATCTACTGAAGAGGCCCCAAAAAGGAAGACAATTTTTTTCACTTCCTTTGTTTCTATCATAGCTGCTAAACATATTTGGGAGGAATTAAGAGGAGAGCAAAATATTTAAAAACAGTAAATTCAATTTTATATTATAAGTTGGTGATGAATAACATACCCCTTCAACTTTATGTAGGAAAGGAAAAAAAGGCGCACATTGTGGAGAACATATTCTGCTGGATTTAAGTCAGAGGACCAACGGAAAATTTTATAAAGTTTTAAGATAAGTGTTAAAAATATATCTAATTTTTTTTTGAGTTTTATATTTAAATTATTGAAAGTGTAAGTTTCATACATAAATTATCACTTTTTAGTTTGAGAAATACACATCAATGATATGTGTAATGCATTCTCTTTTATATGAAAAAGTTTTGACACATGACATTTCATATAGATAAAATATTTTATCTAAATAAAAATTAAATAATAAAAAATTAATATTAATTAAAAAAATAAAAATAACTATTCATATAAAAAATTAAATTATTTTTCTTATCTCACCCCACCATCTCCTCCACGTACCCCCTCTCCCGCGACAACACCATCCTTATTTTTAAAATAAATATTTATAAAATATTTTTAAAATTTCATACTTCATCCTCCCCTTCCCCACCCCACCCCCGATAAAAAATTGATATTATTTTATTTAAAAAAATCTACCCCATTCTATTTAATTTTTCGCTTCTAATTTTATTCTTTTGATGTTTTTCCTTATTTTGTGTTAGATATGCACGTACATATATATTTTTTTAAAAAAAATATACTAATGTACCAAATATAACATAAACAACAAAAAATTATATAAAATGTTCTTGCGGCACGTAAAAAATATTTTTGATATGTATATCTAAATACAGAGGAAAAAATTTGAAAGCGGAGGGTTAAGTGGGATAGGTAGAATTATATTTTTAAGAAAATAAAATAATATCTAAATTAGTATTTGATAAGGGGGAGGAGATGAAGTAAAAAATGAAATACTTTTATAAAAGAAATTTAAACAAAATAAAAAACTTTAAAAAATGGTGTGGGGTAAGAAAAATATTTTACATTTTATTTTATAAAGAAAATATTATTTTTTATAATAGTTTTTTAATTTTTAATATTAACTAATACTAATTTATTTATTTTTTGTCAAGGTTGAATATTCTTTAAAATAAAAGAGAGTGTTTATTACACATACCATGATGAGATTGGTATAAAAAAGAGATGTATTTTTCAAACTAAAAAGTGATAGTTTAGATATGAAACTCAAACTTTCAATAATTTATATATGAAATTCAAAAGAAAATGTATTGTTTAAATGTATTTCGATACTTATCTCTAAAGTTTTTATAGAAGTTACTATATGGAAGGTAAAGAAATAACATGAGTGAATTGGATGTACTTTTGAAGAGGAATTTTTAATTTGTTTCTAGTATTTGATTAAGGTTATAGAGAAATAACAGGAGAGGTTGGATGATAAATTATTTTTGAATAGTGAATAACCTGCACAAAATTGATTTAAATATTTTCCATCGAATTGATTAAAGTTTTACACAAATGTGGAGTTCTCTATTTCCTTTCTGGTTTAAAAGTACTACTAGAAACAAAAGAATGCCAAATTTACTAAAATTTTGGTAAGTTGATAACTTTGTATTTTTTATTTTTTTCTAGTTGCATGGATGCCCCCAAAATCGTTTTTAATAATCCCCTAATTTAGTTTAGATGTTTATTAGCCTTTGTTAAGAGACTTTAACTGTTCCTAGTAAGTAGTGAGTAAAGAGACATGACATGATGCCATTTCCCATGAGGTGGTCGGATAATGTGAATACATCATCCGCTTTCCCTTTTTTCACTTTCACCTCTTCCTTTTAATTTCTCTCTCTACTTTTTACAACCACCTGCTGTCTAATCAAATTCCATTTACTACTCCCTCTATTTGTAAATTAAAGTTGATAAGTAAATTATAGCCGATATTTAAAAAAAAAAATTGGTAGAAATGATTATTTTTTTATGTTATTTTATCACTTTTCTTTAAAAAAAAAATATTTTTTAATTTTGTGATGCTCAATAATTTAAAATAAAAAATAAGATATTTTTTTAAAAAAATACAGCAGAAGAAACAAATTTAAATTATATATGTGAGCTGTTAGCCGAAAGTGCTAAGGATAAAAAGAAGCGAGTAAAATATGATATGAGTAGACCCTATGTTGTTTATTAAGGTCAAACTACATTAAAGAGGTACTAGTATGTTGAATAAGAGAAGTTGTTGAATTCATAACTCGTAAATCATATATATATATATATATATAATTTTAGCGTTTTGTGAATTGCGGATTTCTTTCTCAAACAAAGCAAGTGTTTGTTTTACTGTTTTTAAGCAAAAATAATTTTAAAGTGTTTGAGTAAAAAAATTTAAAAAAATAGGTCAAAAATCATAAATTAATCCAAACAGACGGTAGCAATATTTCTGAAAAAGGAAGAGGACATTATTGAACTTATCCACCCCAACCAACTCACACACCACTAGTACTCGAAAAGTTGTCGGGGAATAGGATTCTGAATATCAATTTTTTATTAAAGCTACTTTACCTTGAAAATTCTCAAAAAATCAAAAGAGACAACATATAGAAAGAAGATGAAGGATTGGGCAGCTCCGATCATAGCAACAGCGCTATTTGGATTTCTGTGTCCAGGACTTATATTTCAAATGCCAGGAAAGCATAGGCCTGTCGATTTCATGAACATGAAGACCAGTATCGTTTCTATGTTGCTTCACACTCTCTTCTTTGGTTTGTTTCTTATGCTTTTACTTGTCATTCTCAATATACATCTCTATGCTTAATTATACTATATTTTCCATTTATGAATGTGCAACATTTACTTTTCTATTCTGAATCCACTACTTCAGTTCTTTCTACTCTAGTTTAATTTATATCACCAGTTTCAGTTTGATTGATAATTCCTTTTTTTTTTCTTTCGATTCATTTCACTTACGGGTTTCTATCCTCTCAGCTAAGTTTTTTTCTTTTCTTCTTTAATTATTGACTCAATTATTGGTGACCTTTTATTATTATTATTATTGAATTTAATAAATAATTGTATATTAGCAATCACTTTATTTTAGGTGAAAACCCAAACATTCGCAAATAATTGATTTGAGCATAGCATTTTTTGCTAAGCGAATGATTCCAGATTTTTTAAAATCATGCAATTCAACAAGCATGAATTGCCACTATGGCCCCACGCAACAATCAATATCACATGGTGTGTTGAAATCAGGACTAGAAAGAAAGACTACTTTTTAAAAAAAAAAATCATTTATTGATGATACATCACCTCAAATCATAAACAGATTGAACTGAAATTTGAATGGTAAAAAAGAGAGAAAGAAGCCAATTCTGACGCAACCAAAATAGTAGCAAAACAATGGTGGAGCATGATTTTGAGTAAAGGGTTTAACCCGTGTACATATGAACCCCAATCGCTAATAAGAAGATGCAAATGAGGGCGAAATAGACTAGTGAGTGAACCAATATCGACACTCCACTCGTCTGAAAGTTGCTAAACTCAACAAATCGGCTGCGACCCGGCACCTGAACCAGCAGACCCGGCGTTAACAGAACGAATAGCACCACCGCCACAAACACTGGACCCCAATCAGACATTTTCTTCTCTATATTATCTTTTGGATTTGATCGTAATTGGTCGATAAGTATAGTATTGATTTCCCAAGAAACTCAATGTTTTTCTTGTTTGCTTTGGGTGGAATTTATACACAAGATTGCTATTTTGAACTCACAATTTATCCTTTGCTTAGACCACAACCTTAAGTCTCTATTAGTGGGGCTGCTGCTTTTGATTTTTTGACGTTCAGTAGGTTGCTTTCGAAATCAACATTCTGATTCTCCCACGAACATGCATTAAAATAAATTCTTTGCTTTTAGACAATGTTACCTTATTTCTGTTTTTACAAGAAATTGGCCACCAAATGATGAAGAATCAAAAGGTTTCGCCTTTCCTGAAACAATATAGCAAATAGATATATGTAATTGAGTTGGAAGAAACTTGGCTACGAGAATCGTTTGTGCCAAAACTTTTAAAAACTAAACATATCCATTTCTATCTTTCTACTGTTATATTTTCTTAATTTAAAAAAAAACATTTCCACTCTTTTCCCCAATTGTTGGTAAGAAACCTCTCCCAATATAAAATCGCTCAATCACCCAAAACTTGTCATCAGGTTAAAATATTAAAGGTGGCAATCCAAACAAAGAGAAAATGAGAATAACATCCATCATAGGAGTTCAGACAGTGAGAAACTGAGCCTTAGAAGCAGCAACATTTAAAGCATATAAATCCCGCAAGAAGGAAGCTATACCATTAGCTTTTTAATAAAGTTAAATCCATTGATCACTAATCAAGCCACAACCAGCAAACCAGTCTTTTGAAGCAATGCCTTTCAAATTCTTAGAATATATTCAGTAAATTTTGTTCAAACAAAGAAAACAAGAACAAAAGACAATTCAACCCCAGTACCCTTCTTCATGCATAGTTCAACCGGAATATGTCATTCAATACATAGAAGCTCCCTTGGGGTGTTGGCATCAAATGAAACATCTGCAATCCAAACAAAGAGTAAGAACCTAGAAATTTGCGTGTGAACAAGTTCTGAAACACGCTACTTATCAACCACTGTTATAAAGCAACTAACATAGCATAGAATTAACTATAAAGGTCAAATTCAATAGAAGGCTTTTAGTATCTGCAGTTTCTCCACATATCCACCACAGACAATGCAGCAAAGCTATTATCACAAAAACAAATTCCAAAAAAAAGAAATGGATGGCTCAATTGCCCAAATTAAAAGCAACTCACAAAAACTTTTCACTTCTTATTTTTTCTTAATCATCAAAAATCAGAAGTTTTTCAATGGTGCGTCTGGATAATAGGTAAACAATGCAAGGCAAAATAAAAGGCAGGAGAAATGAAAAGAAAGTGTATCATGCAATCTTATCATTGAACTTGTATGAGTATCATCCAATCTTATCTTTGAATTTGTACGAGTATCATGCAATCTTATCTTTGAATTTGTATGGGACAACATCATATAATCTGTCTGCATAATGTGTTTTAAGGATGAGCTACCCATTCAAGAATGGATGTTGTTTCTTGTAATAATAGGCTTCTGTTATAGTGACTAGTGTTATTAAAAGTGAAAAGCGGAAAAAAGCTCTAAGGTCTGTGAGGGCTTTAAGCGCAAATAAAGTGTGGGTTTTAATGAAAAAGGGAGAAAAAATAAAATTTATATGTACAGTCCAAAACTAATAATTATAAACATGAATGCAAATATATTGACCAAATAAATTTGATTTCTTTAAAAATAAATTGAAATATCAATCGTTTAGTGTCACTTCTTCATAAGAGACTCATTGACAAGGAAAAGTTTGGCTTAGAACTTTGATGACGACACTGAAGCGCACTTAAAGCGAGGCGAAACGCTCAACACGTTTTGAGCGTTGCTTTAGGGCTTAAGCGCGCTTAAAGCACGCCTTTGATAACAGTTATACGACAACAAGTGAGGAAAATAATCAGGCAAGGCTTCATAAAACAAAGTAAGGCAGCAATCTGCTAAAGAATACATGATTCAATCAAATAAACTTTATCAAAATATAATTAAGTCAAAGCTAGACAATACTCCCTCTTACAGATTATTACTCCCTCCATTTCACAAAGAATGACCTAGTTTGACTTGTCACGGAGTTTAAGAGTATAAAGAAGACTTTTGTATCTTGTGGTCCTAAATTAAAGTTAGGTTAAATGTACAAAATTGCCCTTTGATTTTGTGGCTTTAAACATGTCACGTGGAAAGTTAAAATTAAAATTTTACCAAAAAAAGAAAGAGGTCATTCTTTTTTAAACAGATTAAAAAGGAAAGGAGGTCATTCTTTTTGAAACGGAGGGAGTAATTAATAGAATGATGAATTTACTATATCACACTTTGAATATAATAAATTAAAGGGAGAAGGGTCTGAGCAGGATCAAATATACTCTTAAGTTAGTTTTTTCACTTTCGTTAGAGGAAAAAGGTATATGTGAGTCATTTGTATAACAGTAGGGGTATAAATGAGTCACGTATATCAGCTCTAAATGACAAAGTTAATGGATATATCAAGCCCTTCTCCCTAAATTTAAAGTTTCGAGAAATGCATTGGGAAATGATAGTTCATAGTAATAAGGTTAAAACAGGTATATAATGGTAAATTATTATTACTATTAGTGGACAAGTACAAGACATGGGCAGTACTATTATATAGGGAAATCAAAATGAAGACATTCTAAAACTTATGCTATTAAACTTTTCTAAACAATCTATAAGGAAACAGATAATAAAGAAATGCATTTGATAAAACCAAAAATCTTTTTTGAAGTTCACCAAACGAAAAACACCCTCCCACAAAATGCATGAGCAAAAAAAACACATTTTGAGTAAGAACTTCAAGTATAACAATTGCCTTTGGAAGTTTATTGTTCACTTATTCCATAAGTTGTGAAATGCTACTTAGCCACAGCCTTTTCTTCCCTGGGACATGGGTGACCATATACATGTGATATTACTTACACATTAACCAATAAATTTCACCAACAGTCGTCATAACAGCCATTACACTTCAAATAACTGACCAACATTCTATACTCTATACCAATGCCAGAAGTAACTCAATTCTACTAAAGCTCATCTGCAGGATACTTTGCAGTAAAATAATGCTCACCCTAAACATATTAGCAAGAAGAAATGTTATGACAACTATCAGACTATCACTACATCTTATTTTTTTATAAACGAGAAATACGTCTGTGACCTGTCCTTTAGACCATTCACAGCCTTCTAAGCTCGGTCGATAATTGGCCCGCCCTCTACCCTTCACTTAAATACCAGGCTTCGCTTTGCATGGTATGGGGCTTGAACCTGCGACCTAAGCCACAAATCCACCCGAGCTCGGCCTAGGGGCCACTACTTCTTTTATCAAGTATCAGACTATCACATGGAAGATTTGCTTAGGGTCACTGCAACTTTTATTGAAGACAAACAGTAAAGAAGGAAGCCACCAGGGTACCAGCAGACTGCAATAATCTAAGGAATTATTTGGTACCCCTGTGCTGGTTATTCATGTATAACTGCTAATGCACTGGTCCCTTTGAATACAATAAAATTGAACACTTACCACATCAAGAATGCAGTTTGGATTGACAACTCGTTGCCAGTCAAATGACTACAAATTGGAAGGAGATATATGCTACTTTGAATTCCTTTCAGAACTCTAAACAGAAGCTATGCTAAGTACCCAAACATATTAACCCTTACTTTGGATAAGAAATTTTGGTTCTTTCTATAGTTGCAGTTGACAATTGCAAGTATAAATTTCCTTATATCAAAACATAAATATATTAGCAGCAGGAAAACTCATCTCTGGCATTACAAACTGAGAACAATGCACGGAAAAAGAAATTCACAATAACAAATTTCAAGTTTCCAAGTGATTCAGCCTTGTCTACATCAACAAACTGATCCTCGTGGCAGATCAAAATTGGTTTTCTCAGCTTTACAAAACAAAGCCATTGGAAAAGGATTTAGCATGGCAGATGAAAGAGTTCATCAAGCAGACTTTTCTGGGTAGTATAATCTATTAGAGCTCTCTTGATTTGGGAATGGGTTCTGGATAAGGAATATATTCCTTTCCCACCTAATGGAGTGGCCGGGTAACATGACTAGTTATGGGATTTCAATCCACTGTTGGACTTGATGTTATTTAAAAGTCCAAGCTTTAGCATTGATTCTCAAGGGATCAACTTATACTTATGGTGATACTCGGGGGACCAAATATGCTAGTAAGTTGTATTTGCAATGTGGAGAGCTAAATTTATTTTATCAGGTGTACACAGTTTGTTATTTGTTAGTATTTTCGGTTAAGTTATATTCTCTCTAACAAGAGAACCTTAGCATTAACAGCATTTGAAGTTGCATAGTCCAGCTGTCTTTTTGCGAAAAGTCATCCTGCCAAGACAGCCAACTTATTGTAGAGCATTGCAGCTAGATAAAATTTTTTCAAAGATGCACATCTTTACACAGATGAAGAAAGCGATAATGAAGAGAATGTCTAGGAAGAAATTAGCATCTAGACATATGAGCAACAATTGAGTTTTGGCAGAGCAGAATGCACATAATAGCATATGTATGCAGATGTCTTGTTCCCAGAAGGATGATAAATGGGTTGAGCCATAGAAATAACAAGTTGGAGGTCTAAGGTGCAAATCCCAACTATGACACTCAGTTAAAGCCCTTCAACTCCACCCTTAGTACCTAAGATTACCGCACACGTTTGGGTTGTAGCAAGCTCTCAGGCATATCATATCAATCAAGGTGGTTCAGATACCACTCATATATATTGTTCAATTGAAGTCTAAAATCTAGTAAGCAACTTTAATGTCATTCTTCAAACTAAATGGCATCCATACATGTAGAGATCATCTTCCTCAGTCCCTCCCACATCCATCAAAGCTATAACTCCGGAGACATACTTACAAGTTACAATCAAGGCCATAGAGCGTAGAGGCATCTTGTTATTAGCATGTTAGCCGAACTAGTCCGGCAGCAGTAAACCTAAAATATGTTAATCACATACCTATCTCTAAATTTTCAGAATCTCACTCCACAAACGGCAACTAACATCACGAGATCCTCGAAATGAAAAGTCAATGGGTGTTGGATTATTCGAAGTTCGACAAGTTTACAGAGAGAAACCGTCCAATTCCTCTTTTAGGATTGTTGTACACCAACTCACAGCACCAATGTGTTCGGAAAAGGAAATCTAGATTCGATCCATTTTCTTAGAAATTATACAACTGAACACAAGCAGATGGAGAATTACAACAATTAGCCAAGTAACGGGGAAATACCTGACTGAACTTGAGGGCGTGCTGTTCTCCGGGGAGTTGAAGATT